GTTGAAACATAAAATAACTGTAAATAAATTTTCTTTTCTGGGTATCAGTTATACACTGGGGTTTTTGTTGTTGTTGTTGTTGTTATTTTAAGTATAGCACAATACCAGTGATCACATTCCTAGGTATCTACTCAAAATAAATGAACATATTGTCACACAAAAGTTTATACATGAACATCTATAGCAACTTCTTTTATAATCCTCTCAAATTGGAAAGCATTGTTATCTATTAGCAGATAAATGGACAAACATCTGTACAAAGAACAACTGATCATTGATAAAAGAAATGGAGCAACTAACAATTAATGCATGCAGCAAAATGGGTGAATTTAAGTATACATTGTTCATTAAACTAAGCCATCTATACAATACAACAAAAAGATCACTAGTTATCAGGAGTTTGGGCAGAAATAGTAGTTGTTTGTGTATAGGAGTAGCCTGAGGAAACTTTTCAGGTGATTAAAGTCCTTTTATATGTAACTGTTGTGGACTTAGGATTCTATGCGTTTTTCAAAATGCTATTTATATTTAAATCACAACAATAGATTTACTCAATTTAGCATAGCAATAAGCAGATGAAAGCAATTCTAAGCTTCAAATGGGCATGGAATGTGAGGACAATTTACAGAATGTGATAACGTTATTAGAAATAAAATTAATTAAAAATAAAACAGCAATAAATAAATCTGCAAATTGACAGATTAACAAATGTATACTTAATGCAAAAATCTATTCTTAGTACATAGTGGGAAAAATCCTCTGAGAAGAGCTTTTGAAATATGTATCAAGAATTGTTCGAATACTCACATATTTGGCATTCTTAACTATAGGAACCTTTTGGGATCAAAAGATTACAGACTTATACAAAGTATCTAAGATAGTAAAAATATGTAAATGATATAACATATAATGGAATATATGTTTTATTAAATTTATTATTAAGATCTTTTAAATATCTTAATAATACTTGTAATGTTTGAAATACATAAATAAATAGATAATATGGTGATTGACTGCAATCTCAGCTAATAGCAGTAACTGGTCATGTCACTACCTGCACACACACTTTGGTGAAAAAAAAAAAGGAATCCTTTGATCAGATCTTGTTTAAGTAGAAGCTCTTCAGCTACAACCTAAGCCGTAGAGAACTCAGAGAACTGTTAGGGTACATCATCAAGAACTATGGTTTAGGAATTCACATTTCACCAAAATCCACCTGCTATCACTGTGGGTTATACCTAAGTAAATGTTCTGCTTGGGAGATGTGATTCTCTACTTAATGGTCAATTCTCTACCTAATGGTCTAGTGTAATGAGGTTACACTGCAATATCAAAGGCATACAATTCAAATCCACCTGTTGTTACATGGGAAAATGATGAACTATCTCCTCCCTTGTGATTAACTTTCTCTAAAAACCTGCCGGAGAGTCAACTATCATTTGTTTTCTACTTGATGGCACACAACAGCAGTAACAGTGTGTCTGACTAGGTAAAGAAAGTTGTAAGTGAAAGTTAGTAATGTGGATGGTGGTAGCAACTGAAGGTGATATATTAATACTGAATGTTGTTGTTTGTTTTTATGTGCCGTCGAGTCACTTGCAACTCATAGCGACAACAGCCCTAAACTCTGTTCTGTTCTGTGCCAATCTCATTGTCTCTGACACACTCAACCTTATTACCCCAGTCACTGAATCAATCTACCTCCTAGAGGGCCTTCCCCTCCTGTGCCTGCCCTCCATCCTCCAAGCATGATGTCCATCTCCAAGGACCGGTCTCTCCTTACAACATGACCAAAGTATGTCAGACAAAGCATCAGAATTCTTGCCTCCAAGGAGCAGCCTGGTTTAACCCTCTTCAGGTTAAATCTGTTTGTTTTCCTAGCAGTCCATGGTACTCTCAATACTCTTCTCCAGCATCACAGCTTAAAGGCATCAATTCTCCTTTTATCCTCCCTAGTCATTGTCCAACTCTCTGATGCATAACAAGTGATTGCAAAGATCATGGCCTGTATCAAACACACGTTAGTCTCCAGAGAGACACCGTTACTCTTGAGTACTTTAGAGAGGTCCCTAACAGCAGAATTTCCCATGGCAATACATCTTTTAATTTCCTGGCTGCTGGTGCCAAGAGTGTTGATTGTGGAGCCAAGCAAACTAAAGCTGTGTACAATCTCCATCTCTTCCACCATCCATGCTGATGCTGCCAATTGGTCCAGTGGTGTGAATCTTTGTCTTCTTGACATTGAGCCTCAATCCATATTGAAGGCTGCACTCCTTGACCCTCTGGCAGCATGCGCTTCAGGTCCTCCTCAGTTTCAGCAAGCAGTGTTGTGTCATCTGCATAACACAAATTGTTGATAGATCTTCCACCAAACCTGATGTCAAATTTGTCCTCATAGAGCCTAGCCTCCCAAAGATCTGTTTTTCATACAGGTTGAAAAGGTATGGAAACAGGACACATCCCTGGTGTACACCCTTCCCAGTTTTGAACCATGCAGTGTTTCCTTGCTCTGTTCTGACGACTGCCTCTTGCTTGGTTCAAGTATAGGTTTCGCAGTAGCACGATCAAGTGTTCTGAATAGGTCTACATAATAAATATCAAGATGTAGCTCTCCCTGGTCTGACTGCATAATATAGTGATCTTATAGAGAAAGATTTGATCTTTCTCTTCTACACAATCTTCTATGGGAGCCTAGCAGAACTCCTCTACTCTTTAGACTCTGAACCATGTGGTTCTAAAACTCTGGTGACCAAATGATTTATGTTCTCTAAATCCAATGATTACACTAATATATGTAATTCAACTTTTTTTATAATAATTACATTGCAGCTCTTTATATCTCTGTAACAGGCACAAAATGGACAGAAGATTTTGGCAATCTGTCTGTACTAATAAATTGATTTCCTTCTATAATGCAGGACCATTTCCTGCCATCCTAGTTGAATTACCCAGTATAATCTTGTTTATTCCATAGGAACTGTTTGTGGAAAAGAACAAAATAAATGGATTAAAGTTTTAAGAAAAAATTGTGGAGTTGAAAGAAGAATGCATGATAGCTATGGTAATTTTTTGTGAGAAACTCATAACTTTAAAGTATTTTCCATAAATATGAGGGGAAAGTTGAATTCAGGACATCAATGGCCATTTCTCCCTACACATAATGTTCAATCATAGGTTAATCCAAGGGAAAAAGTGAGTGCAATGCACCACAGAATGGGCCCTCCAATTAAAATATGATGGTGACACATTCTTTGCATGAGTTACGTTAAAAATCAGAGTGAATGAACAACATGAATGAATTATCCCACAGAGCACAAGTTTTCATCATTTTCTGTGAGATGTAGTTGCCCTTCAGGAATGGCATAATCTTTGAGAAAACTAGGGTGGTATATTGCAATGAGGTAGTATCCTTCAGATCAGTGTTAGCTATTGTAACTGTCTGTTGCCTCTGCTTTCTGTTGAACTAGTGCACAGAATACATATTGGAGGCTGATGGTAACAGATTTTACAACAGAATATGAGGAGATAACACAACCCTCCTTGCTGAAACTGAGAAGAAGCTGAACTTCTTGCTGCAGAAGGTCAAGGACTGCAGTCTTCAATATGGATTGAAGTTTAACATCAGGAAAACAAAGATTCTCACTACTGGGCTGATCGTCAGCATCAAGATAGATGGTGCAGAGATTGAGATTGTTAACAGCTTTAGTTTGCTTGGCTCCACAATCAATACTCTCAGTACCAGCAGCCAGAAAAATCAAAAGACAAATTGCATTGGGAAATTCTGCTGTCAGGGTCATATTCAGAACACTGAAGTACAATGATGTCAGTTTAAAGGCTAAGGTGTTCTTGATCCAGGCCATAGTCTTTGCACTCACTTGCTATACATCAGACAGCTGGACAGTGACTAGGGATGATAGAAGAAGTGATGCCTTTGAGCTGAAGTACTGGAAAGACTATTGAATACACCACTGACTTTTAGGATAACACACAATTTTGTCCTTTAGAGGGTAAAACTAGGCTACTCCTTGGAGGCAAGGATTCTGAAGCTCTATCTGACATACTTTGGGCATGTTACAAGGATGGATCAGTTTTCTGAAAGGGACATCATTCTTGGGAGGGTAAAGGGTCAGTGAAGGAAAGGAAGACCCTCAATGAGATGGATTGACTCAGTGACTGGGGTGATGGGCTGAGATGTGTTAGAGACAATGAGGTTGGCTCAAGGTAGATCATGGTTCAGAGCTGTTATACATAGATTGCTGTAAGTCACAAATGACAGTACATAACAACAACAAAACAACAATGTGGATCTTGCTCTATTTTGTGTCATTTAATTGCTAAGTGTCTAAGTTTAATGTGCTATATAAATTCGTTAAGCATTTAGAACTGGTTAACTATATTATTTTAATATCAACATGGTCTTAGGGAAAATGACAAAAGACTAAATGGTACCTGAACAACATCAAATTACTTTATAAATGGATCTTAACTGTGTTCTATTCTGTGCCATTCTTATAATTTCTTACATACTTGAGCCCATTGCTGCAGTCACTGTTTTAATCCTAAAGGGTCTTTTTCTTTTTTCACCAACCCTCCACTTTTCCAAGTATGGTGTTCTTTTCCAAAAGAATAACATCTTCTATGAGTACGCTCAATATATGTGAGACAAAGTTTTGTCATCTTTGCCTGCAAAGACATTCTGGCTACACTTTCTCCGAGACATATCTGTTTGTTCCTTGGGAAGCCCATGGAATTTAACAATAGACAATGATGTATGCTGTTGTTGTTGTGTACTTGTTGAGTCAGAACCAACTCATAGCTGACCCTCCAGTGGATTTTCAAAAGCAGTTAGCACAGCTCCTTACACTAGGCCACCAGAAGTGTCATTAAAGCAAATCTTTAACACACACATAATGTATTTATTATTTTACACAAGTAATTGTCACAATTAAAAGGTAAAGCTTCTATATTCTCAAATTTCCTGTCTATTCAGTTTAACAAATTTAACATCCTTTGATAGGATGTTGTAAAAGCATTCTGGAATTTATATATCTGGTCTTCAATTTATGCATTGCTGATTTCACCTCCTTGTTTCTTAATGTGTAGATAATAGGATTCAATATTGGTGTAAAAACAGTAGAGAACACAGAAAGGACCTTATCCACTGGGAAGTTGCTAAAAGGCCAGGCATAGATGAAGATGCATGGCCCAAAGAAGAGGGATACAACAGTGATGTGGGCTGTCAGGGTGCTACGGGCCTTGATCATGCCCGCTATTGATCGACGCCACATAGTGACCAGGATGACCATGTATGAAATGAGCAAGAGCAAGAATGAACTCACCCCCATTAAACCACTGTCCAAAAGCATCAACACTTCAGGGACATAAGTATCTGTGCAAGCAAGTTTGATAACCAAAGTGAGGTCACAGTAATAACTATCTACTATATTTGGACCACAGAAAGGTAAGTTTACAGTGAAAGTCAGCTGACTCAGAGAGTGTATGACTCCAATGACCCAAGAGCCTACAACTAAACTTGTGCATTTGCACGAGTTCATGATGGTTGCATAATGGAGAGGTTTGCATATAGCTACATACCTGTCATATGCCATGGCTACAAGAAGCATCATTTCACCACCAGCAAAGACATGAAGCAAGAATATCTGGGCCATGCAACCTTCAAAAGAGATGGTCTTGAGTTCATGAAGGAAGTCATTAATCATTTTGGGAGTTGCATATGTGGCCAGAAATATGTCAAGAACAGAAAGGTTACTGAGCATTACATACATGGGGGTATGCAGGGCAGGTTCAGATATTACTGTGAGGACAATGAGGAGATTTCCTAACACAATTGATATGTATAAAATGTTAAAAAACACGAAGAAGAAATACTGGAGCTCCCAGGAACTGGAGAGTCCCAGCAACACAAACTCAGTCACTCTAGAGTAGTTGCCTTGGTCCATAGTCTCAGTCTACAAGAGAAGGAAATAAAAGACATATAATGACTATAATCAAGAGCAGTAAGAATAAACTACAGTTCTGAAGGATACCTCTTAACATTAAAGTACTTTATTCTTATTCAGAAATATTTTATTTATCATTTAGACAAATATATTTTTTCTCAATTTTTCTTACTAATTAATAACAGCTATGAAATATAAAAAAGTGAAAAACTTTTTTTTCCACTTTTTTTTTGGAGACAAGGATTCTGAGGATCCGTCTAACATACTTTGGACATGTTGTAAGGAGAGACCAGTCCTTGGAGAAGGACATCATGCTTGGGAGGGTGGAGGGACAGCGCAGGAGGGGAAGGCCCTCTATGAGGCGGATTGATTCAGTGACTGGGATAATTGGGATGGGAGTGTCAGAGACAGTGCGATTGGCACAGGACAGAGTGGAGTTTAGGGCTGTTGTACATAGGGTCGCTATGAGTTGCAAGCGACTCAACGGCACATAACAACAACAACAACATGAAATATAAATGTCATAAGACTTCATTCAAAAGAGCACTCTTCTTGATTTTTGGCTGTACATTTTACTTTATCTGTCACCTATAAAATTTGGATTGTATTTAAAGTAAATGAGACGTTAACATGGTATAGAAAAGAAGAGAAAGAAAGTAGTCAGAAATTCTCATGCAGAACAACTGTATGCATTGCCCAAATGACATTTTTTTTTTGTCTAGGTGCCAGACTGAGTTGGGAAGAGTTGAGACAAATATAAAGTGGCCTTATCCTATGGTAGAGTCTTCTTTGCTCAGTTAATCAGAATGTGTGCCTTAGTTCTAATCAATCAATCCAAATATTGTAGAAATTGACCTTTAAGTAATTTTCTATGACATCACAGTCAAGTTATGTACCTGACTAAAATAGATGTAAATATTTGTGTTTAAAAAGAATATTTGAACAAAATAATTAAGTCTAAATATTATAAATTCTTGCTCTGTTTCTCTACCTGTAGTCAAAAGTATTATTAATATTTTTAAAAGTTAAATATTCAAATATTCAATTATCACAAAAATTATTTACTTAAATAAAACATACCTGATTCCGTTATCTACAGATTTTGTGAGATTTGAAAGAAACTTTTTGGCTTCTTTTAAATCAAATAATCCTATTTGGCTTGCAGAAAGCTGTATTATGTTTATACATTTTTTACCTTGAATCATATAGATTTTGGAGACCTTAACATAGAACTTGTCCTATCAAAAGCGCTCAATTTCATCCTTTTCTCATTTTATATTCTCTGTTCATTTTGAATGAGACCATGGAAGATTATTGTGCTCCGGGGAGATTTCTTATCATTAGGTGTTTGCTAAGGAGAATGGCTGAAGTCCAGAGAACCAAATGCTTCCAACTTTTGGCAGCTCTCAGAGGTATTTCTCTATGTCATATTCACAATCATTTATGAGCACTTTAGTTATAAAAAGTTTAGAAAAATCATTCACTACAGAAAAAATTGAATTTATTCTTAGTGATATTCCCCACATTGGAAGCAAAAAATAGATACATTTAGCAAAGAATATTTTATTCCCTTCATATGGTAATACATAATTAGTTGCTCTTTTAATCTTAATATTAAATATTAATATTATCAGAAGTGAATATATTTGTATTTTTAAAATAAACTGTAATTAGGGTATAATGAAAAAATTGGTTGTCATAATATACTTTTTATTTCAGATTTAATATGGATATGTAACGATAGATGATAGATGAAAGAAAGATGATGATAGATAGATAGATAGATAGATAGATAGATAGATAGATAATAGATAGATAGATATAAATTGAACAGTGGTCACAATAAGCCCTTGACAAAGTCACTGGAAAGCATAATTTACATGCTTTCTTGATAATCCAAATATTGGAAGTTGTAATCTACCTAGTGGTACCTTGAAAGAAAATTTATGCAAACTATTTTCAAAAAATTAGCCAATGATGACCGAATGGAAAACATTTCTACAATGAAATGTATGGGGTCTCCATTAATCAACATGAAATAAATTGGTTATTACAAAATTATTGTGCTTTTAACATGTATGTTTGGTGTCAAGACAATGTTGGCGTTTTGTTTGCTTGTTTCAGGGCCATTCAAGATGGTTGCAACTTATGACTAGATAGTGACTCTATGTGTAATAAGAGCAAAACATTGCCTGGTCATGCCTCTGATATTCTTGCAATCGTTGCTATGCATAAGACCATTGTTACAGTCATATGTTAATTCATCTTATTTAAGATATTCATCTTTTTCACTTACCTACTTAATGCTTTCTGGAACTGGGGAGGACTGGAAGCACTTGCTGCAGAACTTTAAGGATTGCAGACTTCAACATGTATTGAAGCTCAAGATCAAGGAAACAAAGATTCTCGCCACTGGACTGATTGGCAGCATCATGATAGATGGTTAAGAGACTGAGATTGTTAACAGCTTTACTTTGCTTGTCTCCACAATTAACACTCTTGGCGCCAGCAGCCAGGAAATTAAAAGACAACTTGCATTGGGAAAGTCTGATGTCAGAAATCTCTCCAAAGTACTGAAAGGCAAAGATGTCAATCGGGAGACTATGGTGCACCTGATCTAGGCCATAGTCTTTGCAATCACTTGCTATGCATGAGAGAGCTGGACAATGACTAGGGCTGATAGAAGGAGAATTGATGCCTTTGATCTGTGATGTTGTAGAAAAATATTGAATATACCATGGACTGCTAAGAGAACAAACAGGTTTGTCCTGGAGAGGGTTAAAACAGGATGCTCCTTAGAGACAAAGATTCTGAAGCTTCGTCTGACATACTTCGGACATGTTACAAAGAGGTACCAGTCCTTAGAGAGGGATGTAATGTTTGGGAGGGTGGAGGAACAGTGCAGGAGAGGAAGACCCTAGATGAAATAGATTGATTCAGTGAGTGGAACAATGGGGGTAGATGTGTTGGAGACAGTGAGATTGGTATAGGCAGGATTTAGGGCTGTTGTTCATAGGGTCTCTAAGAGTAGCAGGCAACTCGACAGCACATAACAACAACTACTTAATTATATTCTTCTGCAATGACAGGGCTCTCTGCAGATAGCTTGTCCAAAAAGCATCATACTAAGTCCAACCATCCTTGATTCCAAGGATCATGTTGGATGGATGGCTTCCAAGGCAGATTTGTTGATTCTTCTGGAAGCTCATACCAAAAGTCATATCAAAACCACTTTTGCTGGGTCAATTTGGTTTCATAAAAATCCTTCATCTGATTAAAAATCTTAACAAGAAGCTATACATCTTTATGGAAGGAAACTACTTGTATTTCTCCCACAGATCAACTAGTAGATTGCTAACCTTTAATAGTTCAATGAGTCCTCACTGAAAAGCAAGAATTTATACAGAGAGAATCAATCTAGTATGGTTTCCAGGGCACATAAAGGTAGGAGTTTACGATTAATTGATAGGCAATGAACATTTACTAGGATAAGTAAAGAGAAGGACAATGGACTATCCAACTTTGTGTGTATTATAATAGATGTTACAGAACAGAATATGTATGAATGATTGTATGGGGGAGGGGAAATGCCACAAAACAACTAAACATGTTTTGTAAACCTTCAGTCACATGACAAAAAAGAAAAGAGTTCCTCCTAGTAAGTATTCTTTGCAAACACCATAATTCAAAGATAGAAAATTTTATTCTGTCTTTCTTATCCACTTATGTACAATTTGTTCCTATATTGTTCATAGGGTTTTCAGACACCTACTAATTCAGAAATGGATCATCAATCCTGTTTCCTAGATTGTCTTAATTTGTGCGCTCCACTGAAATCAGTCTAGAATAGGTGACCCCTCTACCACTTAACACACAGATGGAACAGCTTTCAGTATCACAGCACCCTGTACCTCAGTATAGCAAACTGACAGACAAGTATTGTACTAAGTAGCACAATGATAAGCAAGCAAGAATACACACATCCAAGCTAAAATAATTAGCATTAAGAATATCACTCTCTAATACGACAAATTGACAGATAAGTGACCCAGCAGCTCTAGGGGAAGGATTTTTGTCTCTGGCAGTTCTGGAGTCTCTGAATGTCTGCTCCAGGCACGTCTTCCTGAGGCTTAGTGTCTCTGCACTAACAGCACATCAGGACAAGGAAAATCTTGGAGACAGGGCTCATATGAGACCAGTGGTGACCTGACAGAATGGAGCTCTGGATGGCACATGGCTGGAACAGCAGGATAATGACCCCAGTGAGGGCTATATCTTGGCTGGATCTAGTGTGCTGGAGCTTCACATTTGGCCTAAGGGCCTTAAGTGGAGACAGGGTAGGAAACGCTTTCTTCCATTGTTACTACACACTTTAAGTCCAGGAGCTTTGAGAGAGTCTGGCAGAAGTCAGAGGTTCAGGGGTTCTACCTGAATGAAGATGGTAGAGACAGGGTAAAAAAACTTTCATCTGTTGCCCCAAGAACATGGATATTATTGCATAAGAGGTAGAGCTCAGACTGGAAATCCATCAAAATGAGGAGAAACAGCTGCAAACATTTTCCCCTCCCAAATTTTTTATTTCAGATTACCAGTAGCCCAATTATTTTTATTTCCAGATAGTATTCTATTGTATAATTCTGACCAGGTTAGGTAAATCTCATGTGTAGAATTAACACATTATTATTTCTCCCATACTCTGTAGATCAAATCAGCAATAGGACAAAAAACTCAAGAGAAAAAGGAATAAAACTCCACATCTTAGTGAAAGTGACAATGATCCATTGAAGAAGATGGGAGCTATTATTCTGGCCACATGTTGAAGATATATACTGACATGTTGCTGTTATGCGCTGTTGAGTCGCTTGCAACTCATAGCGACCCTATGTACAACAGCCCTAAACTCTCCCCTGTCCTGTGCCAATCTCACTGTCTCTGACACACCCATCCTGATTACTCCAGTCACTGAATCAATCCACCTCATAGAGGGTCTTCTACTCCTGCGCTGTCCGTCCACCCTACCAAGCATGATGTCCCTCTTCAAGGACTGATCCCTCCTTACAAGATGTCCAAAGTACGTTAGATGAAGCCTCAGAATCCTTGTCTCCAAGGAGCCGCCTGGTTTAACCCTCTCCAGGTTGAATCTGTTTGTTTTCATAGCAGTCCATGTTACCCTCAATACTCTTCTCCAGCACCACAGCTCAAAGGCATCAATTCTCCTTCTATTCTCCCTAGTCGTTGTCCAACTCTCTGATGCATTACAAGTGATAGCAAAGACAGTGGCCTGTATCAGATGCACCTTACTCTCCAGAGAGACACCATGGCTCTTCAGTACTTTGGAGAGGTCCCTCCCTAACAGCAGACTTTCCCATCGCAACACGTCTTTTAATTTCATCGCTACTGGTGCCAAGAGTGTTGACTGTGGAGCCAAGCAAACTAAAGATGTGAGCAATCTTAATCTCTTCACCATCCATCCTGATGCTGCCAATTGATCCAGTGGTGAGAATCTTTGTCTCCTTGACATTGAGCCTCAATCCATATTGAAGGCTGCACTCCTTGACCCTCTGCAGCAAGTGCTTCAGGTCCTCCTCAGCTTCAGCAAGTGGGGTTGGGTCATCTGCATAACGCAGACTGTTGATAGATCTTCCACCAATCTTGACCCACTTATCACCTCATAGAGCCCAGCCTCTCAGATAATCTGCTCTGCATACAGGTTGAAGAGGTATGGAGATAGGACGCATCCCTCTTGTATGCCCTTCCCAGTTTTGAACCATGCAGTGTTTCCTTGCTCCATTCTGACAACTGCCTCTTGGTCCAACTATAGGTTTCACATTAGCACAATCAGGTGTTCTGGGATTCCCACTCTTCTCAGAGTCAGCCACAGTTTGTTATGATCCACAGTCAAACGCCTTTGCAAATCAATGAAACGCAGATATACATTCCTCTGGTATTCCCTGCTTTCAGCCAAGATCCATCTAACATCAGCTACAATATCCCTAGTACCACAACTTCTTCTAAACCTAGTGTGGACCTCTGGCAGTTCTCTGCTGATGTGCTGTTCCTGTCATTTTTGGATAATATTCAGTAGAATCTTACTTGCATGTGAAATCAATGGTATTGTTCTATAGTTTCCACATTCTGTTTGGTCACCATTTCTTGGGATGGGAACAAATACAGATTTCTTCCATTCAGTTGGCCAAGTGGTTGTTCTCCAGATTTCTTGGCACAACTTGGTGAGCACGTCCAGGCAAAATCTGTTAGCTGAAATATGTCAATTGGTATGCCATCTATTCCTGGGGCCTTATTTTTTGCTATTTCCTTCAAAGCAGCCTGAACTTCTTCTTTTATCGCCATAGGCTCTTGCTCATATGTTGTTTCATAAAATTCTTCTGTGTCTGCCAATTCCTTTTGATACAGTGACTCAGTATATTCTTTCCATCTTCTTTTAATACTTCCTGGATCATTTAATAGTCTACCTAAAACATCTTTGATTATAGCACCTCGAGGTTTGAATTTGTTCTTCAGTTCCTGAGCTTAAGAAATACTGAGAGTTCAGCCTTTTTGATTGTCTGACTCCAACTCCTTGCACATTTCATTGTAATATTTTGCTTTGTCATCCCACGCTGCCTTTTGAAATTTTCTATTCAGCTCTTTAGTATTTTGAATTCTTCCTTCTGCTTTGACTTCTCTGCACTCCAGTACAATATTCAGAGTCTCTTCGGACATCCATTTTGGTCTTTTCTTCCTCTTCTGTCTTTGTAATGACCATTTGCATTCTTCCTGGATGATACATTTAACATCCTCCCACAGCTCATGGTCTTCGCTCAAGGCCTTAAAACCTGTTCCTGAGATGTTTCTGAAATTCAGGTGGGATAGACTCAAAGTCATATTTTGGTTCCTGTGGATTCGGTTTAATTTTCCTCAGCTTCAACTTGAACTTGCATATGAGTAGTTGGTGGTCTGTTCCACAATCAGCTCCAGCCTAGTTTTCACAGCTGCTATTGAGCTTCTCTAGTGGTTCTTTCCACAGATGTATCGATCTGATGCCTATACATACCATCAGGTGAAACCATGTGTATAACCTGTGTTTATGTCTCTTAAAAAATGTATTTGCAATGAATAAGTCATTGATTGTGCAAAATACAATCATTCTCTCTCCAGTTCCTTTCTGTCACCCAGTCCATATTTTCCAAAACGGAATCTTCTCTGTT